CCCCCCAGGGAGTTAAGCCAGCCCCGGACGCCTTCCCCCGGCTCCCGGCCCCACGCTGCCAGCGCGGGTGCTGCTAGCCCCGCTCTAGCTGCCTCCACAGCCTGGAGAGGCGCAGGAGCCGAGCCGCTGCTCCGGCCGCAGCCCGGCTCCAGCACCAGGCTTGTAACCAAGGCAACTCCGGCGAGGCAGGAGCACACGCACACCCCGGCCTGAATTTAGAAACTGTGCTACAAAAGCAATTAGCTGCAGGGAAGGCTTCAGCTAAAGGGATGCTCAGGCCCAAAAACTCAACTTGCTGTCACAACACTCAGCATCGCCTCAGCCTGCCACTGTCAGGGGCTGGATGACAGGAGCCCAGACAGCCGGGCCATGTCCCCTCCTCCCCGTACAAAGCGTCCAGCCACAGCCTCTTGGTGACAGAGCTCTTCCCTCTTTTTTTTGCCTTCCTTCACCCCTTTTAAAGCAGTTGTTACTCAACAGCCCTATGCAGACATGCACCTAAACACATCACCCCCCCCCCCAGTGCCTGTCGTGTGCCAGCAAGGGGAACTGAGGTGAGCAGAAAAATCCCCCGAGGTGCAGAAAGCTGCAGGAAGGTCAAGGTAGCATGGGCACCCGGCCCTTCACACTGTGATGCTCTCCCAGCTCCAGGCACACACACGCACACTGTGCACGCAGCTTCTCCATGCCCCTCTCTGGCACCTGGCCACGCTGCCCTTCTCCCCCCTAGGGCAGCACCTCTACCAGCACCCGCTGCAGCGGGGGAAAGCACCCAACCCTGCCCTCCACACTGCTCCCACCCCAGCAAGAGCTGGGGAGCCTCAAGGCATCCCCACACCCTCCCTGCCAGCAGAGGAATAACCATTGCCTGCCTTGCCAAAAATAAGGGTTTATTGCCATCATAACTCTTTATTATAAAGATGTATTTACACAGAACAAATCTTTACAGACACAAGAGACATGGTGACCAGCAGGGACCAGCGTCGTTGAGAATAAGGCATCCCCTTTGGTATAAGTTAGTGTTTTATACAAAGACTCCTGGCAGCCACATGAACCCTCACATGGGAGCTGGCTCTCCCGCTGCCCCACAGCTTGGAGCAGGTAGAGGAGCCCAGACCCCCATGAAATGCCCTGGGCAGCCACCCCAGCCTCACGCTGGGCATCCCCTCTTCAGGCCTGCACCAAGACTGCTCAAGGCACAGAGCAGCCTCCATCCATGCCTAAGAGCAAGCCATACCCCCAAACCTCAGGGGTCCCAAGGGGTCTAGGAGAGGTCCCCAGACTAGCCAGAGCCAGGGAGGGAAGGGTAGGCTCAGACACACTGCAGGGTTAGCACCACGAGAATAAATAGACCCACCAAGACCAACCACACACGTGGGAGGCTCACACCAGGGATGGTGCAGGATGAGCAAGGGCGCTTGCCGACCCCTGTGGAGAGCTCCTCCACCCAACAAAGTGCTTTGCGCAAAGGCGCCCAGTCTCAGGCCAGCAGCAGCTCAACCAGCCTCCTGCAGCAGTGCAAGGGCAGAGCTGCCGTCCTGCATGCCTGTGCCCTGCCTGCGGTGGCTTCAGTGTGCTGAGGACAGCCTGGCTCCCTCCCATGCAGGCATGAGTGGAGCAAGAACCATCTCTGAGCACTGCTCCTGTCCCACGAGAGACAGGAGTGAGGGACCAGAGGCCCCAGTGATAGGCTGCATCTGGGTCACCCTCTCACCCAGCCCCTGGCGCAGCCCCAAGAGGCAGTGAGGGGAGATGGGAGGTGCCAAGGCACCTGCAGCACCAGACAGCTGTGGGATACAGAGCCAGGGGCTGGTGCCACCAGGGACAGCAACAGGGAAGAGGTGACATGAGGTGAGTGCTCACAGGCAGAGCCCAGCACTCGAAGACAAGCAGACCAGGCTATGAAATGCAGATGACGACATGGACATGTCCCATGAGAGCTGGTGGCAACCCTGCAACATAAGCAAAAACAGGCATCAATGAGTGCCCCCTGGCACCATCACCAGCATCCCTGCATCCCACCCAGGTCCCCTGAACCAGTGCCACAGCTTGGCAGCCAGGCTCCACATCCCTCAGCCCCAGCCATCCCCTCACCTGTGTTAGAAGGGCATGGGGCCCTTGTGGGAGAGCCGGGGCCGGGGTCTGCGGTACCTCCGCCAGCCACCTGGCCGATGCCCAGCCCCACGCCGCACACCCCGCGGCTGCACCAGGTTTCGGATGAGGCCCTCCTCCAGATCCTTCCCATCTGGTGCCTGACTCAGCGGCCCTGAGGATGGCAGGAAGAGCATTAGCCAAGAAGGAGCATCTCCCCCAGCACTGGGGGAATTGCCTGGCATTCACAGCCCTCACACCACAGTGCAGCCCAAGCAGGTCTCCCTGCTCCTCATGCAGGATGGAGGCTCTGCAGGGGTAGCATGCCCCACCCTAACCTGTAGCCCATTGCTTCTCCCCCAGGGCACATCTTGTGGCAGGGCTCAGAGATGTTTTTGGAGACCTCCAGGACTCCTGAGCTTGCTGCCCCTCTCTCACATGAGGCACCTCCCCATGCACAGGCCCACCGTTTCTTACCACCTCTCCCCCGGCAGTGGGGGTGAGCCCTGCCAGGCTTCCTCTTCCTTCCCCAGGCTCTCCCATCCCGCAGGGAGCCAGAGGAGGGAGAGCCCCAAGGGCCAGTGCAAGGGCCAGGGCACAGCCAGCCCAACAGCACTCCTGCTCCGGCCATGGCCAGAGGCTGCCCTGCCTCAAAGCAGGCAGGGCCGAGGGCCTTGGCAGCATAGCCCATTTCCTGAATTACCCCCAGCAGGAGCCATTCGCCTGCTGAGTGCTTCCTGAGCCGAGCTAGCCAGGCCACCTGCGTGGATGCTGCATGGAGCATGGCCACTTTGTGCAGCTGCTGCCACCAGCATCTCCAGAGGGCACAGAGCAGCCATACCCTGGGCTCCAGGCCCCTGCTGCCTCCTGGTACCCCCTGCCCACCCCAAGGATCCTCACGGATCCTCAGTTTCCTCTTTACCCCCAGCGAGGGGCACAGTCCAAAGCAGACATGTCACACCTACACTCTTCAGCTCCTCTCCCCCAGGCAGCACCCATCTCCCTGCATCCTGCTGCCTCCTGCTCTGCAGCCCTCCCACCCCACCACAGCAACTCGCGAGTTGAATGCTCCAACATCAGCACGCAGGTCCCAGCACTACCAGTCCTGCAGTCAGCACGTGGGTCCCAGTGGCCTGCCCACCCCACCAAGCTGCGATGCTCCAGTAACCCAGGAGGATGGGCACACCAGCACTGCAGGGGCTCCACACCCTGCTCTCTCTGGCTGGCATCAGGGGCTGCACACCCCCTCCCCATCCCAGAACATCTTAGCTCAGACTCCCACCCCATCCCAAACCCAGTACTGCTGTGGACAGGGTGGTGAGGCCCCTGTAGCTCCATCTCCAGTTGCCACAACCCTGGCTGTGCCCCCACCCCAGGCTGTCACCTGAGGCAGTTGCACCAGGCAGGCCATGCCCCAGCTCTCCAGGGGGGAGAAGGCTCTCCAGCCTTCCTCGGGCTGTTGTTTTGCTCTGCTATATGGTGGACAGGGTGAGGTTTGTTGCCACCATGAAAAGCGCTTTGTCCATGCTGGGCAGAGGGGGAAGGAAAAGCAGCCATTCCCTGTAAACAAGGGCACCATCGGAGAGGTGCCGGGCAACTCCAAGCGCTGCAAGGCCAACATGGAGCCTGTCCCCATTCAAGCCCCTCTTCCCAGGGAACGGGCTGCCTCCACCTGCCCGTTATGGGCTCAGCTGGCCCCGAGACACAGCTCAGTCCCTGCTGGACCCCCAGCCCAGCCCGAGCCTGGCACCTCCAGGGCACTCCCTGCACCCTAGCGACCTGTCCACACCGAAAACCTGCCAGGCACCGTGGGGTCCTGCCCCGCGACGGGTTGCAGGGTCCCGGGACGGAGCAGCCAGGCAGCAACGGACAAGAGCAGGCACCGAGCGATGCGGAGGGGACCCAGGGGAGGTGCCAGGGGCTGCA